GTTGCCAGATGGATGAGTGACTTCGCCATTGTGGTCAAGTCACTCGGCCATCTGCAGGGGTTTTTCTTCTACCAATGAGAGCTCAATTAAAACTGAGGACAAGTCACTCAGCCCCCTGGCGACGAATTTGACTGTTTCACACCGCCCAAGGGATAATAGTGGGGCTGCGTTTCCGAGGTTGGTCGACGTTTCCACAACCTAACGATGGTTTCTTTTCCCGTATGTGTTTGGCCTACTTCACAGCTTACTTTAATTATAGGGGTTTGGGGACCATCGACTTGCCGTTAGCGAGTCCATTAGTGCTGGATTCAGGGAGGTTAAAACGGAATTGTCGAAGCATGGGGACAAAATCTTGCTTGTGAAATGGGAAGTTTGTCTATTTGGAACTGTTTCGTTCCCCCTTATAAGTGTAAGTTCAAGTTATGTGTGGATTTTAAATTTTCATTGTTACTGACACAGTTGGTAGTAGTGGGATCCACGGCAGAAAAAGTGTTGAACCCCGACATCCCAAATATCTTTGGTAGCGCTGCGGATAGTTCAATGTCCACACCTACAACGGCAAGTTAATGCTGTGGTGGGGCTGGGGCCTTAAGCCTGTCTACTGGTGAAAACCTGTTCGGTGTAGCTAGTATAATTTATATATTTCAACCGTGGTAACAAAAGGAAGACAGGCTTCATAGGGGCACGATTTATGAGGACTAGCACTGCGCGTAACCTCTGCTTTGTCCTTTTAACACACCTGCTCCTGATGGATACATATACTGCTTCCAGCGGATCATCGTTTCCTCCTAAGGACACCTTAAGCCTAACCGCATCTTCGAAACCTCTATCTGAACAAGAGAGGTGGTTAATCAAATGATGAAACGATACCACGAGCATGTCACACGTGTTCTTAGTGCACCAAGTAGGTTCTGAGAATTTCGAGCAGCATCCACGATTTCCGACGGAGCATGGCCGGCATCATGAGCTCAAGCCCCGCTATTGTAGTTTTGCTATTGCGGGTACAAGGGTAAATCCCCCTGGTTTATCCTGCAATTCACTAAACCTCCTGCTATCGGATATCGGATTGTGGTCTAGTTGTCTCATTTCCCCGCCGGAGGTTACAGTGCTTGTATGATAGGTGTGTTGTAAGGAGTCTCGTTATCCAGCAGGGTTAGGGTTCAGACTCAGAGGACACTAAAAAATCTCTTCACGTTGGTCTTCAGTGTATAGGGGGACTGATTTTTCCTTGCTCTGTATGTTCGATCAGCTATTCTTTTCATCTCTCAATCTGCGCCGTTGCTACAAGGTGCTAGCCGGGATACCGAGTGATATTCCGTGACGACAACTACCCACCTGCCTACTTCCCTGCTTGACTGACGTGTGCTATCGTGAGGGTGCGTCCTAGTGGCAACCCCTCAGCTTTAAGATCCATCATGATCCCGAGAGTCCAAAGTGCAAACCTTAAAATGCCTACCGGTCCCTACTTAGGCTGACCCTCAACCCACGGCGGCATCCAGGTCTATACCCTAGAGCCAAGCACCCCGCACAACGATGTCTCCGTATCACATCGAAGTATCATAACATCGGCCCTTCGTTATTACCACGTTCTTTTTATCAATCAACCGCCTTCCATCTGACAACCTTTAACCTGGTTCGCCTTGGTGTAGCATTACGTGATCCGAGCGCTAGCAGACTCTGGGTGAGTCTATTAGACCACTATACTACTAAAGACTGGTACCGTATACCTTAGTATTATCCTGTCGGTACAATATAAGAATAGGGGACGTTGAAAATAGGTCCGGTTGGGGCCAGTTCGTTATGAGCGTGATTATATGGCTTGCGCCTAATATTAGGTGCTTCTGGTTTACGTTGGGGCCATCATCGTCGCATCTTCAGGCCCCAACCGTGAATTTGGGTTGTCAAGAGGACAATACAGCACTTTGTTGTCGGACGGGTAACGCATAAATTACGCTTCTCCCGTTGCCCCTCCAACTCGGGGACACGTCAGGCCGGGTGTGAGTTTGTGTAGAGAGGGAGTGTACTTGAAGCATGAGGGTGTCCAGAATTTCCTCTCAACCGTCATCCATTCTCTCCACCACCAACCCACGACCCAACGTTCCCTCACTACCTAAAAAATGACTTGCTGGTCTGGTTTGTTCAAGACCTTTACCTATCACATACCGAGGTATGATACTGGCTAACATGGGAATTTCTGTTACGCTAGTCTTCCTGAAGCATTATCTGTCACCATTGGTGACGGTAATTGTGGGCTTTGGTGGCGCCGGGATTGGGTAGGGGGCGAGCGCCCGTTGCGCAGTGATCCCAAGCGGCCAGTCCGGACCATGGGTCAGCAGTCCGGCCAGTCCGGTCGGAATTATCAAAACCCCCCAAAGCCCGGCGGTGCCCAGGCCGGGCCGGGCTTCAGCTTTGAAAACCTGCTTTCTCACAGTCCGGCCAGGCCATCAGTGAAAAAGGCCTGGGTCAGTCCGGCCGTACCCAAAGCCGGACGGACTGGCCGCTTGGGATCACTGCCGTTACGGCTCCCCGCAGATCACTATGACCTGCCAGTGCGACTCTGCAGCCCCCGCCGCCACCGCCTTCACCACCCTCACCACTACCCTCACCACCACCTTCACCATCGCCCTCACCACCACCCTTACCACCCTCGCCACCTTCGCTACCCCCGCCAGCCTCGCTGCCTCCATCGCCCCGGGTGAGTCGGGCTGCTTTTTCGTGGGGATACACGAGCTTAGGGAGGGGGAGGAGGATGGAGAGCGGTGGTTGTTGGCGTGCCCCGGGCCGCCCCTCGAGTCGGTGGGTGGAGAGTGAGATGTGCGGCGGGTGGGTCCGCCGGGGATGAGCGCCGCTGGAGGGAGGGGCAGTCGCATGCGGGGGGGTAGCGGACTTTTTCACTATTATTATTACTGTATTATTATTATTTTATGTACAATACAGTTATGTTAAAAAAGCTCTCGCAACACTTCAAGTACTCTACTAATTCCGGTCCTTGACAGCAGGACAGACCACTCTTATTCCGGATATCTTTTTTTAATTTAGTAATCGAAGATTTTACACAAGATTTTCCCAACTTTTCCTAAGTACTCGTATGTAGCTCCCACAATTGTCCAATTGCAAGCTGCTAGGGCTTTGCGATACGTCGCATGTCACGGGAACTCCTGGGCGTGAGTGCACCCAGCGTGATACCGTAGCACCAATCCGGACACATACCAGAGTTTTGCAAAGACATAGTGCAAAGCAATGAATTAAGACGCCCAAATTTTTCTATATTTCTGTTAGGGTTTGCAGATTAATAATCTCGCACTCAGCACACCAGTAGGGTAAGCGTGGGAATCGATGTTTCCTGATGATTATTGAGGGCATTTCGCAGCTCTCCGCTATCGCGAAACCATCATACATAGGACTAGTTTTTGGGCCCTAATTCCCTAATCTATGCATACTGAAATCAATATCCCGGTATCATACTGGTTGCCTCGTTCACCACCTCCCTATAGATTCTAGTATCATAGCTAGGCTCACGAGGTTTAAATCTGGGTATAGGGGATCTCCTGGGTTTCCCTATCACTACTGCTGCTGAGCTTACAGGGTTAGTTGGACCTAATCTCTGACAACCCATCCTACCTGTGTTCGGGTACAGACCATTGTACCAGGATCTTTGAACCTTCCTATCATACCTCAAGAGTGTCCACAGTATCATTTAAGCTTCTGTTCGTCACAGGGTCCGATGAATAATTGATCGCAGCCTCCAGCCAAGTAGGTTATAGCGCCAAGGCCCTCGGGGTTTGTCGTATGATAAGTTGTGGTTGATGTACGTCATGGGTTGTTTTGCACTGGAGTGCAGAGTGAATTTTGAACCGCACCCACTTGAACTTTTCAGTGTAGGAACTATGAAAGGTAGTCGATCCGGTGATGAGGAATTCTACATCGTCAGCGGGCATCCGAGTTGACTCGCGTCGGGAGTTATCTCGATTTGGGTGCTGTTTCGGGAGCACGGATACGCACAAGTGTCTTCAGAATAATCTACTCTCAACCTAGGTTAATCTGAGAAGATCTGAGGATGGTAATGTGCACTGAGCCTTGGCCAGACTCCCCACATTTCCCGGTCTGAGCTGCATCTGACTTCCCGACATAGCCCCTGAACTGATAACCCCCTACCCGAGTCTGACCGTTGTCTTTGGAGACCCAAACAGGTATGCCACGCCAAAGTGACTGCTGTTCAAAAGTGTTTTTTTCCTGTTAGCTGACCCGCAGAGGCTGGGTAACTGTTAGGATGAGATTGGGTACTTAAACACGGTTTGGTTCCGGGTTGCCTTGGAGAGGCCTGAACCACAAACCACTAATATTTTAACTTTGCCATACCTGGTAGACACAATGCGTGAAATATTTGGTATGTTGCAAATTCCTAGAGTGTTATCAGATTAGGTCCCGTTTACTGACTGCATGATCCTAAGCATTGTAGTTGTTCTTTCCACGCTACTTGCAGCCACCATATGTGGTTTTCTGGATAGTCTTCTCGGGTTTAGTGGTTACTAGCTTCCTAGCTCAGAGGGATTCCCGAGTTTGTGTGTCGAACACCCAGTTCACTCCAACCATCCAATGCTCCCCGACTATGTTGGGCTCCGCAACCGCGCAGGACTCCCCGGCCACGCAGGGCTCCATGCCCACGCAGGGATCCGCGACCGCACAGGGCTCCGCGACCATGCATCACTCCCCGACCGCACAGGGTTCCCCAACTACACAAAGCGTAGTGAACACCCAATGCGCCGCAGCAGAGGACCTATCCATGAAGTTAGGCAAATGCCGGGCCTCCATGGAATCTCGTCGTCTAACGATAGTCAAAGTAGCGCGAGTAACGCTATCGTGCTCACTGACTATTGACGAGGTGGTGGAGAGGTACCGCGCTGCTGGGGGGTCCTGATACACAGGTCGCTCTAATCAATCGGGGCCATTCAGCCTTTTCTGAATGGGAATGGTGGCAATGGTCGTTGAGATGATGAGGCTGATTTTGTGCTATCCTTTAATGTACTCTAGTATGTTAGATAAAGAGTGTTTAGGCTTCTTCCTGTTCTACCACCTTGGCTTGCGCAACTAATCCAACCCTTCTCAAGCCTAGTGTGAAAACATGTGTTCTATCCAAGTGCTGGGTGAAACATGGTTCGTCAATGGCATACCCCCCAATTCTTAATTTTAATACAGGGCCACTCATTTGGATTATATTGGTCGGCACCCTAGGCTAGCTAGATCACTTCCACCACCTCCCTACTAGTAATCCCAGTGAGGAGGGCTTACTCCAGGGTATTGCCGAGAGGTTGCAGTGGCATGGCAGAATCTCTCTCCGACCCCATAATGACTAGGAATGGCTGACTAAGTTACTTGTGGAGGAAAGGATCGGTGCGGAGTAAGCCGCCAGGGATATCTAATTGAGGTTGTTGGAGTAGATTTCACTGGGTTTTCTCGCGGAGGAGTTTAGTAGATAGGTATGGTACCCAGGAAAACCGTTAGTTTGGGAGGAGGGTGTCGGCATTCATGGATTATCACTCGATACATAATAGGGTACGAGTGATTATGTTTACGGCGAGTTACCATTCATACGATACGATACTAGTACAGTACGGTAACTTACCGTAAATATACCAAGCGCTATTGACCAACCATCATGAAAATCTCCGAGCTGAAGCCCGATTTCATTGCCAAGGGTGCCTAATGTTAAACCCACAGGGTGAAGAATCAGCTTGACCCGATATCGGGGTTTCGAACGTCACATATGCCGTCTCCCGGTAGGTTAGTTATGAAGCTCAGAAGATGTAGATGGCAGGTTCGGAGGGAGCTAAATACATAGGTTTTTGTTTATCCGTTTCCCGAGAAACCTTGAAAACCAGTATTAGAATATTTTATCAGTGGAAATTGGCCTATCGGCCCGCAGTAGATTTGGTTTCGGATTAGTCTTTGTAGGATTGGGTAGTGCTGTAGTGGTTCCTAGTAAACACTCGTATTAGGAGGTATCTCACTAGTTGTAACAGTGCTCTCTTAGTATTTGGATTCTGCACCCCGATGGTAACGTATTCCACGCCATAGCAAGCGCCCGTCATAGCGAGCTATCCACCCAAATTCCAGCCACTATTCCAATCTCAACCGGCGTTCAACCAATCATGTTGCCCAGACTTGCAGAAGGCTTGCTATGGTGTGGAATACGTTACTCCGTGTGGGTTTATCCGGCAATAGTCCGGTTTGGCAAAATGCAGTACAGGAACGGCCTGGCATTAATCCTTAGGGCGCGTCTGGTTGCCATGGCGAACCTTTATTTTGAGCCTGATTATAGAGGTTTTGGTGCCTTTCTCACCCGTTTTCCAGGGATGGAAATTCTGGACTACATAGCACAAGGCTCGTTTATCCGAGTTCTTACGGTAGTAGACTCAGTCATCAATGGCAAGTAATGGACACTAGATTGATGACAGAAGGGATTCGGAACGGGGGGGCGGTGGGAACCCGTGCGTAGAGCTCTCCGGGCTTTGACGAAAAACCGGGTCATGATAGGAGATATGGAAGGGAAAGATGGTGATGGGGGTAGGGGTGGGGGTGGGGAACGTGAGGGCAAGAATCCGGAGAATTAGAGCTGAAATGACGGACAGAAGGGAGGTGGATGTAGTCGGAGGAAGAGAGGAGAATGGGGTCTATTTATTCTCCTGCTTCTGAGCATTCTGCTGACGAGTATGAGAGACCACATATAGAATCATCTCCCTTCTTCCATAACACGTAAAATGATATCCACGAAGAACCAAGCTTCCAGTGTGCCCGTGTCGGAACTCCATCAACAGCACGATCACCCTACCTAACCAAAAGAAAAAAAGAGGAGCAGCCCGAATCCCTTTGAATCCATCGCCATGTAAATGCACCACGGCCGATCATCCCCTCATCCTCAAGGTGTCCTCATTAATCACCACCTCCTCCACGACTTGACGGTATCCCTAGAGTTCCCTCCTATGATATACATTATGAATTTTTCTCCCCCGTGGTTTTCGGCCATTGTCCATTTTACCCCCTTCGCTATTCCTCGCGAAATAGGAATACGTTTGGCGGTGGCTTCATCTGAACCACGAGTTTCCCATTGCAGCTATTTTTTGTTCCTTCCACCACCACTTCCATCTTGCCCCACTGTCTACTGTCTTTGGGTTGTCTTCCTCCTACCAAATTCGTGGCGAGTTGTGCTAATTATTGATGATAAATGGCCCTCATTGAGCCCAACCGATGCCCTTTTGTTGGACAATCTTGATCATGTACGAGTACAGTACGGTGCACCGGGAACCACCGCCGTGCTTGGACGTTTGCCGCCAATCTTTCTCCCTATATCAGATCAGCCTCAGCCTTCCTCGCCTTATTTTTGCACAATGCCCAGGCTGTCTGTCAACCCCCTGGGTCGCGTTCATAGGGATGCCCTCTGCTACCCCGCACACAATCCGTGGCATCACTGGTTCAAGTTGCCTACACGACTCCATAGCGCGCAACAGACAACAGCTGACTCCATTGCATTAGCACCATTTCCAGTATCACCAAATAACGTGTAACAGTCTTGGACGGACTGGACGGTTGGAAGTACACCCCGTGCGGGTTCTGCGGTACTCTGAGCGCCAAGCTATTCTAGACCCACGAAGCTTTTCCAGTCACGATTACCAAAACAGGTCAGTGTTCTACATTGTAAAAATTTAACGAATTAAATGTCTCGACAGCTTATGGGATATATCCGACTAGTAACGCTAATGCGCTCTTTGAGGAACACACTACTCTAGTACACCTAAAAACGATTGGCCAACAGAAACAAAACCCAATACTGGTATCTACTGTGATACCGGTTGACTAATCATCCTATGCAGGTTTTTCCTGTAGTTTAACGGTCCTTTCCATGTATGGACCGTCGAGAGGACCATCCAAAGGACCAACCTGAAAGCCCCTGAGAGCAGTGGGGTTCACAAACCTCATTCAATTACGAGTACGGAAGCACAAATTTCCTGTGGTCTGTAGGTCTTAGGTTTGCAGTCACAGTGGAGAACAGAAGGTAATGTCAACGATATTAAGAAAAGAAACCACCAGTAAAGTAGAGTGAAAAGAAAAATCCCTACAAAAAATCACCGGCTCATCTCCGGACCCCCCCCCTCGTGTTCCTCCCTAAAAAAGCTTCTTTCCCATCACAAGCAACGGTACTCCCCCTTTAGCCTAAGCCAGATAATTCAGCTACCTAACCCCCATGACGTATTCTCACTGCCACCTTTCAACCTTTCTCCGAACTCCTCTCAGAAAAGTTCCAGCTAATATAAAATAAAGCCTTGTCTGTCTCAGCAAAATAAAGCAAAACAGTAACAACAGCGGCTAAGTGAGCTATCTGCCAGTGGGTTTGCCCCTCACAGTGCTCTTGATCATCTAGTGGGGCTGGAAGCCGTCAACCCCAATAGGTCAGACTGACTCCAAGGCAAAGTTGAGCACAACAAAACTCATTTAAAACAATTACATGTAAAAAGCTACGTCCAATAAACTGGGTCTTTCCTAAGCCCAGCTGGAGAACAAAGACAACCCATCCAAGCATCGCTGTTCCCTGTGGAATAAATTAGTTACCAAGATCCAGTCCCTTTCAAAATAGGTCCTTACCTTCCCTTACTTCTCCATCATTCCTCCAGAATACAATGTGACAAGTAGGCAATCTGCTGGGATGGAGTAACCCTTTATCTACCTTTCTTTATCGTTGTCTATGGTATTGAATAAAATCAGTATATCTTCGCTCAACTGAAACACCCCATCATAGTGGACCATTCTCTATCAGCTACCAGAGGTGACAAATCCATACACAACACCTTCACTATTATTTTCTCTCAGGTCCTTCATGGTGAGGAAACACTGTTTCCTTGCCTCCACAACGTGATTCGCTTTCGCTTCAACTACTACTACAAAGGTTTCTTCCTTCATAGAAACCAAGTCCATAACGACAGATCCCCTCACACCACGAATCCTACCACCTATTACGATAGTCACTTTTTCTCTGCGTAAACATAGGTCTCATCCACTCTGCTTTAGAAAATAATGCAGTACAGGTCACAAGATGGCGATCACAAGGTCGTTGATATTTTCTTCCTTGAAGTTAGGATCTGCAGCGCAAGGGTATCCCTCAGTTTTAATGTATCCTAATAGGCCATTATAAACCTTCTCCTTGACCTGCAAGATGCCTTCACTTCCTCCAATAACCAACTTGTCTCCCAACATTTTCTCAACAGAAACACAGCAGAGTGCCAGACGGATACCTAATCTTTTTTGTACTTGTTAAACAGTCATCTTCGAATAGGAAGCCATCAATCTGGACTTTTCCTTCTTCTTAGTGACCTTATTACTCCTTATTACTTTTTACTTGTTCAGCTCTGTTACACATAGAAGCATAATCGGTACGGCACGTGACTAAATGCATAAGGTCACGTGTTCGACTCCGGGCCCTGCCGTAGTTATCGTGACAATATCATATTATCACACGAAACAATAAGGCATCTATGCAGCCCGCTCCGCGGAGATACGAGGCATGCGACTGAGGGGTTTTCATTGGATAACATAGAAGGAGCTCCGCTCTATAAGATAAGACTCAGTTGGTTCAGATTGGTCAGTTAGTTATAGAACTACGACCTCTGCAAGTCTATACGCTATTACAAGAAGTAATATACATGCCCCTTCAGCTCGCGTAAACTAGAGTCGTCCGGAAGACCTAGTTACGATTGGTTAATAACAACTCACTGGTCGAGTTAGTTATCTTCATTATGCACTCTAAGCTATGTACATAGAAGAGTCATTGATAAGTCCTTTGACGGAGCTGATCACTCCGCTCAGGAAGAGAGCGGGGAAGTTAGTTTTCAGGGTCAAACGGAGTTCCTACTCCACAAACACTGAATC